CTTCCAGAGCGCCTCCCCGCTTCTGCGGAAGGGGCGCCCCGGGTGGTGGGGAGCGTGCTGCAGGCGCGTCTCTTCTCTTTCTCCTCTGCAGCTCTGCTCTCCGGGGACACCGCGCCGCTCCGGGAGAGGAACCGCAAGCGGGAGGTGGCGGGGCGCGGAGCTGGACAGAGAGCCATGGCGCAGGTGAGTTGGCGGTCCTCTGCCTCCTACTCCCTGAGGTTTCTTTTCCGTGAAGTTCCTGGTTGGGAGATCTGTCCTGGGTGCTGCTGACCGCTGCCCAGCGCCTCCCGCCTGCTTCCTCTGCACCCCGGCCAGTGTTCAGTCTTGGTCAATGAGGGGCTCCGACCCCTCTCCCCTGTGCCGTTTTCTGTACAGGTGGTCTCCAGGAGTGGAAGTGTGCTCCTTGGGGAAACAGGTGGCCCCTTGTGCTGTGCCTGGTTTGTTTGTGCCCATTCAATGCCAGTCCCCTAAATGCCATTTCTTTTTTCTTTCTTTGATTTTTCTGGAGGCGTGAACTCAGGCGATTTGCCACTGAGCAATATCCTCAGCCCCCCCCCCCCATTTTTTTTTTTTTAATTTTGAGACAGGGTTTCACCCAGGACCTGGTTAAATTGGGGCTGGCCTCGAACTTGGCACACCTCCTGCCTCAGCCTCCCAAGTCACTGGAATTACAGGCCTGTGCCACCTTGTCCAGCTGGCTAAGCCCCATTCCTTCCTCTCAAGGGGCTCACAGCCTGTTGACAGGACGTCAGGGAGGCGAGCAAGGGTCTGGACACCAGGTTCTAACCCCGGCTTTCAGGTTTTTTCTTGGCCCCTATGACCTCCTGTTTCTGCTCATGTTCCCACAGCCCCTCCCCAATGCAGCAGCTGGTAGCCCTTCTCAAACATAGCTCTCGTCATTCTTTGCTTGAAATCCTCCAATGGTTTCCCTGAAGAAGGGCCAAAATCCCTACTATGACTGACAGGCCCCCAACTGGCTTCTTGTTATCCTTGATACCTGCTGCTTTGCCTCATTACCACTCTTTCTGAAAAATCACCTTCTTGTTTTCAGGATCATACCTTCTAACATCTAAGAGCCTCCCACCACAATTCTTCAAATTCCTCTTCCTTGCTTTATTTATTTATTTTAAAATTCAGCACTTTCAACACACTATTTTACTTAATATCTTATTTTCTCCTACCTCATTGCCATACTTCATAAGCAGAGATGCAGAGCAGTTTTGCCCTAGTGCCTGATACAGAAAATACTTGTTAGATAGATGTGTAAATATATTCAGTTCTCTAGAGACCAATGTTTTTCTATTTAGTATAGTGTTTAGAGGCTGACCTTGAGCTTGCAATCCACCTGCTTCAGCCTCCCAAGTTGCTGAGATTACAGGCGTGTGCCACCTTACCTGGCTAGAATAATTATTCTTACACTTGATAATTGTGTCATCTCTTATTATTTTATTAGGAACATTCCTAGAAGTTTTCCTTTCTCTATGGACTAAGGTTTCCCAAACTTAGGTGAAAACATGGTACTTTGAAAATTTTATGTGGAGATAACAGCAGTAGAATGTCAAAAACTAGAATTGATGCTCCAAAAAAGTAACCACCCAGAAAAATAATCACCAAATATTTGTTTCTACATGCTTTTAAAATTTAACTGCATTTAATTGAGCAAAACAATAACACTTTTTGATACTTTTTTCCTATAACATTTTTAATTCACTTTTCTCTGTAAAATTTCAACAGAAAGCATTTTTTCTGTAAGGATAGAGTTGCTATTTGGGGGGCTAAATTCATGTTTTCACATGTGTACTAAGGAAGAGTTAAATAACTGAATTTGAGTCTGCACCAGGTTCAACTAACATGTCCTCGGTGGTGTGGTGTGGATCGTGAAGCCTGTTTGGATGGAGGTCTGCCTGTGTGTGCTGCAGCACAGGAATAGAACAGGACTTGGACCATTCAGCAGGTGTTTGTACCTGGAATTAAGCAGGTTAATCTAGCTGTCAGAGAAAGTCTGTCTTCCTCTGTGGGAGGACGTGCTGCCTTCTAGTGCGTCTTGTTTCCTGGTCAGGAGAGGAGGAGTGTGTGTTCACTATTTCTGTTGCTGTCAGAGTTGAGGTGTTTTTGTTGTTGTTGTACCAGGGATTGAACCCAGGGCCATTTAATCACTGAGCCACCACATCTCCAGCCCTTTTTATTTTTATATTTTGAGACAGGGTCTCGTTAAGTTGCTAGAGCCTTGCTAAATTGCTGAGGCTGGCTTTGAACTCACGATCCTCCTGCCTCAGCCTCCCAAGTTGCTGGGACTACAGGTGTGCGCCACAGCGCCTGCCAGAGTTAAGCATTTTAATGGAGGCAGAGAAGCATGGCGCTTAAGGCGTGGATTATGGAGCCAGGCTGCCTGGGTCGAGCGTCAGGGCTGACATTCAATCACTGGGTCCCATTTTCTTCCTCTGTCCGTGAGGAAGATGAAAGGCTGCTTCCGTGGTTCTCGTAAGGACTGCCTCTGTTGCCTCATAGTGCCGAGCACATAGGACGAACTTGCTGGTGTCAGCTGGCAGCAGCCTCGTGACATCATGGCAGTTTTAGAAGTTTGCAGGTAAGCCTTGTAGGTGGCATGCTTTTTAAAAGTGAACACAATGTACAAAGAATGTTGGGAACTATGGCCTCTGGCTAGATCTGGCCCGTCACCTCTTTTTATATGGCTCATGAGCTGCAAATAGTTTTTACATATTTCAATTATTGAAAGAAATGAAAGGGAGAACAGTATTTGAGGACATATGGAGGTCACATGCAGTTGGATTTGGTGTCCCTGCGCAAGGTGTCCTGGAGCAGGGCATGCCTGTTCACGTCCTGCTGCCTGGGCCACCTGTGCTGCCGAGGCGGAGCCGAATGGTCATGGCAGAGGCCCGGTGGCTCAGAAAGCCTAATTTTGTTTTCTCCGGGTCTTTGCAGAGAAACTCTGCTGGCCTCTGATGTCCAGCATGGGTGATGGCATCAGACTGCCGAGCTGCATCCCAGCTCTCCAGCCAACAGACACGGATCCAGGGCGAGTTTCAGCTCCTTATTTTCTCTTGTGTGAGGAAAGCAGTTGTGGGATAAAATAAGCTAATATATGAGGGTGCAGAATTGTTTCTGGAATGTTAGGAGGGTCCTCAGCTGCTATTGACAGCCACAGGCATTTGCTAACAAAAGTCCTTGACTGAGAAAATGTCTTAGAAGGATGTGCACATGACTAATGTGGGTCCCTCAGAACACAGGTCAGAGAGATGGAGAAGGGGACTTTTTCTTTTCTTCTTCTTTTTTTTTTTTTTTGGTTGTTGTTTTGTTCCAGGAATTGAACCCAGGGGGCGCTTAACCACTGAGCTACATCCCCAGCCCTTTTTTTATTTTTTATTTTGAGATAGGGCCCCCCTAAGTTTCTGAGGCTGGCCTCAAACTTGGGATCCTCCTGCTCAGCCTCCCAAGTTGCTGGGCTTATAGGAGTGTACCACTTTCCCTGGCAGGAGACATTTCTTGTTAAGAAACATATCAAAACCAAAAAGATTGTTCCCAGTTTAAGAAAGTACTTGAACTTGTTTACTACTCTTTAGGAGTCACTAGATTCCGGGTTTCTTGACAGTGACAAGGTAGTTAAAAATGATAGAAGAGTGGGCAACATTTTACTTTGGTATTAACAAATTTATAAAAATGTAAAGATTTTTTAAAAGATATCATAAAAATAACTTGCTCTACATACAGAGGTGTACTTAAAAATATTTTCATATTTGAAAATATGAAGACAGTCTGTGTGAGACAGAGCAGGCAGGAGTGTACAGCTGGAGTCTTGGGCTGGATCGTGGGAGCCCGTCTCCCTGCCCAGGCGCAGCACTGTTTGAGCGCCTAATTGTGTCTGTCCTGGAACACAGCTCCAGTGCCCCATGTGCACTGGGACGTCTGGGATGCTGAGGTGCTTCAGCATGCCTGTGGGTTCCCACTGCCTGAGTGGCGGCATGTGACATCTGCTGGTGCAAAGTGCAGGTGGTGATAGAGGACACGGTCAACAGGAAACCAGCTGTGCTTCTTCCCATCCAGATGAACCTCTTGCCAGGCGCAGCGTGCATGTCTGTGATCCCTGCAGCTTGGGAGGCTGAGGAAGGAGTTCCAAGCCAGCCTCCTCAAGGGCGAGGCACTGAGCAACTCAGGGAGACCTGTCTCTAAATAAAATACAAAATAGGGTTGGGATTGAGGCTCAGTGGTGAAGTACCTCTGACTTCAATCCCTGGTACCTGCTCCCCCCACAAAAAAATCCATCCTCCCAAAAATCAGTTGGTGTGCTTTCGTGCCCAGATCCTGCAGCCGGCACAGTTGTTGCTGAGGGCCGAGCAACATGTGTGTAGCTTCGACGGCTCAGGCAGGCGTGTTAGTGTATCCTTGGCCCTCTCTAGGTGTTGCCGGGCACTCCGCCCTAGGTAGGACCCTGGGAGATTTCCCCACAGGGTCCTCCACTCACCTCTGCACTCTTCAGTAAAGTGCCCCCGCGGCTTGGTGGCAGGCTCTGAAGTCATGGTTGGGTCTTGTTCATCCGATGCCAAGCCTCTAAGGACTGTGGTTCCTGGTAGCACTGTGCGACCTTTAGGTTCAGGTGTTCAGTGTTGGATCTCTGTGTGCTTAGGTGTGGTCCGAGCTGGGCAAGTGTGCACAGTGAGGGACCCCAAAACGGGGGTTACTCAGGTCCCAGAGGGTAGCGCCAACAGGGAGCGGGGTAGACAGCACCCAGCACACATGCTCAGCCAGCAGGGGGGAGAGGCAGGCAGGGCCTGTGGGCGCAGCCCCCTCTGGGGTCCAGGTGTAACCTGGGTGGGCTTCCCAGCCGGGGTGGTTTGGCTCATCTGAGAGGAGGGCAAAGCTGGATGGGGACTGGGGTCAGACGGCTTGGAGTGTGGGGCTTATTGACCTAGAGCACCGCAGGAGCCAGTGGGGACTGCCCTGGGAATGCAGGTGACAGGCTGGGGACATCATGGGGTACGAGGCAGCAGCAGGCAGTGAGCCGCGCTCACTGGCACTCACCTGGCCTCTGCCTGGCCTCTGCCTGGCCTCTCAAGTCCAGCACACTGAGGGGCTGGCGGGGCTGGGCGAAGGCAGCCCAGGGCGTCTGTGCAGGTGAGGCGCGGCCGCCTGCCCTTCGAGTCACACGATGCTCACCAGACTCCAGGGGTCAGAGTTTGAGGGCACACGTTAGAATCTGGTGGCGTGTGTGCCAGCTGTAGGTGAATCCAGGAGGGTGTGGGTCAGAGCAGGCTTTACCTTTATTTATTTATTTTGCGGTGCTGGGGACTGAACCCGGGCCTCACACAGGTTTAGGTGAGTGCTCTACCACTGAGCCACACCCAGGCCCAGAGGTTTTCATCCTTATATGCTCATTTTTAGTTTAGAAAAAAATAGTGTTAAATTTTGTCTTAACGAACATCTAGTAACAAAGTACAGTAGAAATCCTCAGAGCTCCGTTTGGGCCGTAGCCATGCTGATCTCCCGAGGTCTGTCTCCAGGTTTCTCTCCCTGTTCTTTTTTTTCCTGTCAGTGGACTCTTTCCTCACGCTTGTGCTACCCCAGGCCACGTGCATGTCCCCAGTGTGAGAAATGCTCTCCTATCTGTTGTATATGGAACAAGTTAGCCCTATTATGTACTGTTTGGAACTGATGGCAAATATGGGTGCGCCTCCTGCCACCCCACAAAGCTGCAGACTCCAAGGCAGGGGCGTCTCCATGTTTCTTTTTGTCTGTGGAGGCTGAGGTGGGAAGCCGGCTGTCCAGGCCGGGATGTGGCTCTGCGAGGGAGCACATGCTTCCGTGTGCTCCAGGCTTCCCACCCCTGCACCAGGAGAGAAAGCAAGCAAGGAGGCCGCTGTCCAGCAACCACCAGCCCTCAGATCACCAAGCATCGATCTTTTATTTAAAAAAAAAAAAAAGGCTCCACACTACTGTGTAGGTGGAGGACAGACTTCAGTCCTTCCTTGAAGCATCCAGTCTTTCTAGGTGATTAGAAGACGGCACAAAGTGTGTTGAAAGGAGAGGCAGCTGGGCTGGGGCTGCCTCAGTGCTGGGGCCTCCCTGGCATGTGCCAGGCACTGGGCTCGGTTCTCAGCACCACATATAAATAAATGAATGAAGTCAAGGTCCACCAGCAGCTACAACAAGGACAGGCGGACGGCCTGGACACACGGGGCGGTGGGGGAGCGTAAATCCCAGAAGTCTCCTTCCTCACTCTGCAGGCTCAGGCTGTGGCCGCTGGTGCCGGCACTGGCTATCAGACGGTGCCTTCCCGAGCCCTCGCTCCGTCTGTCCCTCTCCCCGTGCTGTCCCTGTGTCTTTTCCTCGTTTTCTGAGGGGCTCCTGGAGCAGGCCTCCACCCCAGGCCTCCGTGACTTCCTCCCTAACAGTCTTGTCTGCACACAGCTGCTCTCCCGCTGCACAGAGCCCGGGACACATCTGGGAACCACCTGGTGAGCACGACTGGGGTTGTGTCCTTTCAGGGCTTGGTGACCTTTGGGGACGTGGCTGTAGCTTTTTCCCCAGAGGAGTGGGAGTGGCTGAGCCCCACGCAGAGGAGCCTGTACAGGAGGGTGATGCTGGAGAACTACCGGAGCCTGGCGTCGCTGGGTAAGGGGTTGTCCGCCTGCCTCCTGCCCCCCTCCCCCTATGTCCTCCCTCCATCCTCCCTCCCCCTCCATCCTCCCTCCCTCTCCGACCTCCCTCCCACTCCGCCCCGCCCACTGTTGCCACTGAGGAGCGCCCAGTCCTGGCCTCGGAGCCCGGGAGCTGCGCCCCTCATCTGGACAGGCCCACGGTGGTGTGACAGGCGTGTTCCTACCCCTCCAGGACTCTGTGCTTCTAAGCCCGACGTGATCTCCTCCCTGGAACAAGGAAGAGGCCCCTGGACGATGAGGAGAAGGGGGACGCGAGGCCCGTGCCCAGGTGAGTGTGGGGCGGGGGACACGAGGCCCGTGCCCAGGTGAGTGTAGGGCGGGAGGGCTGCGGCCTGGCTCGCTGCCTGCACACTGTCCCTCGGGCAGCCCTCGCGCCCACGCGTGGGTCCCGCCTCCCTTCTCCATCAGACAGCCACCCGCTCCAGGGCCGCCTCTCCTATGTCTTCCAGACATGTGGAATCACCTGTGGTTTTGAGAAAAATCTTTTGCTGATCCCTTTTAAAACCCCTTTTGTAGTTACAGGTGGACAGCATGGCTTGATTGTGTTTATTTTTGTGTGCTGCTGAGGACTGGGCCAGGGCCTCACATGCCAGGCTGATGCTGGCGTGGTCTGTTGTTGGACTTGGTGTTGGTTAGGGTTCGGTCAGCTGGTGCTCTCAGATGCTGGGTGGCACGAGGAGGGCAGACGTGGAAGAGTGACCGGCTCCCGGGGGAGGTGCCTCTGTACACCCCTGAAGGGAGCAGCAGCTGGGGTCCACAGGTGGCAAGGACGGCAGGACTAGGGAGTAAGAGAGCCCCAGGGCTGAGCCGGGGCGGCTTGAGTGACACTGGAGCTCGACAGAGCGTCGGGCAGAGAGAGGGTCGTGGGGATGGGCCTGGGGTCCAGGGGGCTTCTCAGTGCAGATGGGCAGTGCCAGCTAGGTAGCTGGCTCTCAGAAGACGCCTGAGTGGCTGGACGGACGTCCCACTGTTGTGGTGACATCAGGCTGTTGGGATTAGGAGGGCCACCGCCGCGTCCTTCCTGCAGCAGCAGTTGGTCAAGTGGACACAGCTTGGGACGTAGATTTCTTTTGGAGGCTCTTCTATAATAGGAAATGGCAATAGTTTTGAATGCAGTGAGACTCTTGTAGATCTCTGCTCAAATCTGACTTCTAAGGCAGAGTTGTGTTGAAGGAAGGCACAGGTCGCTGGCCCTGTACCCGGCGAGGCCCCAGCGGGCTGCCGCCCCCGAGAGCCAGAGGGACATGCCTGTGAGTTCTCCGTCCTGCAGCGTCTCACCAAGTCCCCTGCGTGGACTGTGCAGGAGACAGCTGGTCTTCCTGGCAGGCACCTCTCCTGGTGGAGACCCGCTGGTCCTGAGGCTGGAGCTGCTCTCTTAGGAACCAGCCTTGGGACCAAAGGGAGGCGCAGAGAGTTAGAGGTGGGCTTCCATCAGACTGGAGGAAGCCGCACGGTAGTCTCCTTTCATGGCGTCTGCCTCCTGGTTGTCTGGTTGAGCCACATTCAGACTGGAACCTCCTCTCTCAGTTGTGCCACTGGGTGGAACCGGCCTCAGGCTTGTTGGGCCAGTGCCCTGCTGAGCCATGCCCTGCCGAGGACTCGCAGCTCTCCATTCTCAGCTCCGTTTCCAGTCTTCTATGAAAGACGCAGCGAGCACTACGTCTTCAGCCTGTGGGTGGGAAGGCTCATATTGCACCCTTTTGTACTGTGACGTCACAAAGTTAAGCACATTAAATAATAGTCATTTTTAAAAGTTTCCAAAATGACATGCCTTTTTTTTGTGTGTGGTGCTGGGGATTGAACTCAGGGCCTTGTGCATGCAGGGCAAGCACTCCACCAACTGAGCCACATCCCCAGCCCAACATGCTTTTTAAAAAATGTTTTCAGTCATAGATGGACACAATGTCCTTATTGTTTATTTTTATGTGGTGCTGAGGATCGACCCAGTGCCTCACACGTGCAAGGCCAGCGCTGTGCCACTGAGCCCAGCCCAGCCCATCTCAGGCTCTTTGAGGATCTTAATTCAGCTGTTGGGCTTGGACGCTTTCTTCATGCTAACTTGTAATGGAGGAGAGATTGGTTTTCCATCTTTCAGAAGCGGAGGCTGTGCAGAAGACCCAGGAGTCCCTTCCCGATCGCCCACGTGAGGAAGGACGAGCCCCGGCGGCAGCAGCGGGGCCCGCGGGCTGTTGCCTGGAGGACTCTGTTTTAGGGGAGAGCTGGGGTTCTGATGCTCTACTTGAGACACAGCCGGTAAGTCAGGAGGTAAACTTCAGGAGCCTTTTATGAGCCGCGCTGGGAGAGGCTTCCATCTGAGGGCAGTATTCCTGTGGACACGCTGTCCCCTCGCTGCACTTCAGAAAAGGGGGTGGCTGGGACGAGGTGAAGCCAGCAGCTGGGGGTGGCTGGAGAGGACGCGAGACTCTGGGAGCAGCCCTCGGCCTCTCCTGCTCTCACCCAGCACCTCAGCTTAACAAGGCCGTCACGGTGCGACTGAGACGACTCAGCCTCACGCTGAGTGACCAAGGTCACGCTTCTTGGTACAGACCATGGCCACCCCACTGGGGCCACGCAAGCTTGCAGGCGTGACCTGATCAGGAGCGTGTTCACACCTTTCCAGGGCTTGGTGACCGTCACCAGCATGGCCGTGGACTTCTCCCGGCAGCCAGACCCAGCTCAGAGGACCTTCTGTAAGGACGTGCTGTGGGAGGAGCCGAGTGACCAGGAGTCTGTAGGTAAGGACCTCCCTCTCCAGACCAGGTCTGTCTGCAGAGCCCCACTGCACACACAGGGGAGGGTCTTCTGAGGTGCCGCCCGGGTCTGGCCCTGGCTGCGCCGTGCACCTCTGGCCTCTGTGCAGGGGAAGGTCAGCACGGTCCTTGTGCTCCAGGGGTTGTCTTGATGGCGCCTCCTCCTGACCACTCCCATCCTCACCAGGGAACGAGAGCCTGAGTTTAGAGGGCCACAGTGTGACCACCCCATCTCTTGCCCCTCATGCAGGACGGGGCGTTTCTAAGCCAGACGTGGCCTCTTTCCTGGAGCAAGAGGAGGAGCCCTGGATGGTGCCCAGAGAGCTGGCTGCAGGCCTGTTCTCAGGTGAGTGTGGACATTGGTGTGGGGAAGTCCCTGCAGGTGAGAGTGAGCTGTCACCACAGAGCACGGGTCCTCAGCAGGAGCCTGTAGAAGCTTTACCAAGCTCTCCAGATCCGGGAGGGAGTCAGTCCTGGACCAGAAGGATGGCCGCCGCCTTTGCTCCTCCTAACAGCTCATCTCCCACAGTGCCCTCTTCCTCTCGGCCAGTGGCACCTGTGTCGGCCTCTCAGCTTTGAGTGACTTTTCCTGACCTGTACGTGCTCTTGAGCGTCTTTCAGGTTCACTCCTCTATGGCCGAAGGGCCCATTTGTCCATCACACACCCCTTCCTGTGAGAAGCACCATCTGGGGTGTGCCAGTGGGCCCCTCTGCCCAGCGCTGGCAGGCGACTGGAGGGAGGCAGGTGGACGCTCAGGCTGAGGCCTGTGTGAGTGTGTAGGCTGAGGGAAGGGTCACTTCAGCAGGACGACACCGCAGCCCTGGAGAACCGCAGGAGCAGAGCCGGCAGAGCCTGCCTGGGCCTGAGAGGCCCCTGTGTCTCAGGACGGCTGGCAGAAGTCGTGTGCCAGAAGGCAGGGGCAGCAGGTGAAGCGCAAGAAATCCCTGTCAAGCTGACGGTTTATAGAACACGTGACCATGTTGCCTACTGGAGAAGGAGTGGCACCCGTGACCCTAGACCTCTCACATGGTGGTTGCGCTCCTTTTCACACAGTGGTGGGTACCCTAGGTTCACCATGGACGTGGACGCCCACTGCTCGCATTAGGTTTCTCAGTTATTAAAGGGATGCTACAACGGTTTCTTTGTGCACAGCCGGCGATTGCTGTACCCCTGGACAGGACTGCCTGCTAGGCGCTCAGTGTTTTGTTTTGGTGAAGTTGGCAGGGACTGGGAGTGTGGATTTAATTGCATCCTGAAGCCAGATGTGGTAATCTTGCACACGCCTGTCATCCCAGCAATTCGAGGCTGGGGCAGGAGGGTCACAAGTTCAAGGCCAGTCTCAAAATAAAAAATAAAAAAGTCTGTAATGTAGCTCAGTGGTAGAGCTCCCCTGGGCTTAGTCCCCAGTTCAGGAAAAAAAGAAGCATCCTCAAAATCTTGGCTATTTATTTGCCAACTGTTGCTTATTATTTGGTGAAAGATTATATAGCTTAAAATTATCTTATCATGAAAGATTTGGTGCTGCCCCTAAGTTTTGTTTCCCTCTTCCTCTGTTTTCTTTTCCATGTTTACCCACACTTTGCTGTTTGCCTGAGATGTTTTCTTCACAGTCCTGGTATTTTTTATGTATAAACATGCAAATTCATGGTCATATTGTCTCAAACTATTTTTGACAAATGGTAATAAGAATTTTAATTTTGGGCTGAGGCTGTAGTTCAGTGGCAGAGCGTTTGCCTAGCACCTAGGAAGCACTGGGTTCTATCCTTAGCACCACATAAAAATGAAATTAACAAAATAAATACATGCTGTCCATCTACAACTGCAAAATTTTTTTAAAAAAAAGTCTTAATTTTAATAAATCTTTTTCAGTTAGAACATATAAAATATTTGAATTTTCATGTGCATTTTTTTAATTTAAATTTTTTTTTAGCTGTAGATGGACACAATACCTTTATTTATTTATTTATTTATTTAATGTGGTGCTGAGGATCAAACCAGTGTCTCACACATGCTAAGCAAGTGCTCTACCACTGATCCCCAACCATAGCCCTGAATTTTTATGTTTTCTATTATGATTTCTCTGTTTCTGTCTTTATAAACTTATACACATAGTTGTGCTTCATTTTTCAATGGTTGTTTAGAAAAAAAAAAAATAAGGTTAAAAAACAAACAACCTTTGGGCCGAGATGGAACTCATCAGCAAAGCCCTTGCCTTGCTTCAGTTCCAAAGAGAAAAGACAACAAAAAAGAACCCCATCAAAGATAAGAAGTAAGACAAAGGCTAGGCTGGCTCAGTGTAGAGCCCTTGCCTGGCCTGTGCGAGGCCTGGGTCCAGTTCTCAGCACCACATATAAATCAGTAAAATAAGGGCCCGTTGACAGCTAAATGTATATACATATATATATGAGCTAATGGTTGTCCAGTAGTACAGCCCATGGACATCCACTACCCTTGCACTTACTGTGGAAGACGTCTGACCGTTTAGGTCTGTTCCACTTTCTACCTGCAGTGAAGAGGCTCAGTTTGCACATTCTCTTTGCTTATATGTCAGAATACCTCTTTAAGGTCCACGGGCCTCACAGACACTGCTGGACACAGGAGAGTGCCCCTTTCTGGAGATCATCACAGGCAGGGTCTGTCTGTTGCAGGCTGTTTCTTTTTGCGTCTCCTGCCCTTAGAGCTCTTCTCTGTACGCAGTGCAGGGACGTCCTGTGCTCAGGAGCAGGCAGCTCTGGCAGGCAGGCTGTGTGGCCTGTCCCCACCGTCAGGCTTCCCTGCTGGGACGCCTGCCCACCCTCTGCTTCCTGCCCCTCCTTCTCCCTGCCCACCATTCTTTGTCCTCTCTTTTGCCGTGTGGGCTGCTGTTCTGTTTTATTTACCTGTTTTTATCACGGAAAAGTACACAAGACTATGTAGCTATCCTAGCGCACACAATGGGTGGCCTTATGTACATTCACAGTATTTTACAACAAAACCAGTGTCTAATTCCAGAGGTTTTAGAGAATTTTTTTTTAATATTTATTTTTTAGTTATCGGCGGACACTGTATGTGGTGCTGGGGATCGAACCCAGGCCGCACGCACGCATGCCAGGCGAGCTCGCTACCGCTTGAGCCACATCCCCAGCCCTAATTCCAGAGGTTTTAAAGATTGCTCTAGAAGAAAACCTCCTGTTCACTAGGTGGTCATTACCATTCCTCCTTCCCCAGTCCGTGGTGACCACTGTCTGTCTGTCCAGGGGTTCTCTGTTCTGAGTACTTCACATGCAGGAACCTGTACCATGCAGCCTCTGTCGGGGGGCTTTCCTGGGGTGCAGCATGTGCCAAGCAGCATTCGTTTACGGCTGAACAACACTGTACCTTGTGGCTCTGCCACATCTGTCGGTCAGCTCACTGCTGGGCACTGGGGCTATGTCTACCTTTTGGCTGCTATGACTAGTGGTGATTTGGACATTTGGACATTATGTTTGTATTTAAGCACCTGCTTTCAATTCTTTTTTGTTTTAAATGTTGGTTATTTAACCCATGATGCTCTATTACTGAGCTATGGCCCCAGCCTTTTTTTTTTTTTTTTTAACAATTTAGGATTGAATGCAGGGACACTTGATCACACTTGATCACTGAGCCACATCCCCACCTTTTTTTTTTGTAATTTATTTGGAGACAGGGTCTCCATGAGTTGCTTAGGGCCTCACTAAGTTGCTGAGGCAGGCTTTGAACTTGTGCTCCTCCTGCCTCAGCCTCCTGAGCTGCTGGGATTACAGGTGTGTGCCTTGGTCCTTGCAACCCGATCCCTTTTCATTTTTTGCTTTAAGACAGGGTCTTTCTAAATCATTTAAAGTCTCACTACATTACTAAGGCTGGCCTTGAACTTGCAATCCTCCTGCCTCAGCCTCCTGAATCTCTGGGATTATAGGCATGTAATGCCATGCCCAACTAGACCTTTATGATACCTATGAGTTAAAAATATTTTTTCCTATTTTGTGGAATATTTTTTGTACTTCTTTTCTCTCTCTTGGTACTGGAGATTGAACCCAGAGGTGCTTAACCACTGAGCCACATTCCTAGCCCTTTTTGTGTTTTGAGACGGGTCTTGCTAAGTTGCTTAGGGTGACTTTGAACTTGTGATCCTCCTGCCTCAGCCTCCTGAGCTGCTGGGATTATAGGCATGCACCATTATATATGGCTCTCTTTCACTCTTGATAGTGTTGTTGTTGTTGTTAATAGAGATTGAACTCAGAGGTGCTCTACCAGTGAGCTACATCCCGGCCACCCCCCCCCTCACATTTCAAATTTTTATTTTGAGACAGAGTTTCACTTTAGTTGCTGAGACTAGATTTGAACTTGTAGTCCTCCTGTCTCAGCCTCCCAGTGTGTAGGAATTATAGGTATGTGCCACTGCACCAGCATCTTATAGTTTGTTTGTTTGTTTGTTTGTTTTTGTGTGTGTGCGGGCGGTGGTGGCTGGGGATTGAGCCCGGGGCCTCGTTCATGCCAGGCAGACACTCACCACCGAGCCACATCCCCAGCCCTTGGTACTATGTTTGATGTACAGAAGTTTCTAATATTGTTAAGGTCCAGTTTACTCATTCTTTTGTTGCTTATTTTGATGCTACATAAGAAACCATCGCCAGTCATGGGTCCTAAAGATCTTGTACGATCTGTGTGGTTTGACCATTAGAGTAGGATTTGGCCCGTGTTGCGTCAGTATTTGTATTTGGTGTGAGGTAAAGATCTTTGGTCCTGTTCCCACTCCTCTTCTCCATTTCCCTCCCTCCCTTTCTTCCATGCTGGAGCCTGAACTCCGGGCAAGTGCTGTACCGCCGAGCCACAGCCCAGCCCTGAACTCGTTCTTCCCCAGTGGTGGGTCTCAGGACCCTTGAAAATCAGTTGACTCCAGAGAAAGCGTGAAGTCTACGGCAAGTACATGAAAAGTGCTCACAGTCCCTCAGGGAGACGCTGACCAGGACCAGGCCGTATCAAGACACGGATGTTGGGCTGTTAGGTAAAGAGATGGTGGGACCCTGAACGCTCTGGTGGGGCTGCAGGATGGTGTAGTGGGGAACTGTGTGGAGATTCCTCGTGATATCAAAAACAGGAGTACGTCGGACTCAGCCAGCTGACTTCTGGGTGTCAGTCCAAAAGGACTGAAGTCAGGATCTCAAAGAGACAGTAGTCCTCTTACATGCGTTCACACTGCAGCACCATTCATATACCAACATGTGGAAAACACGCACGTGTCCATCCGGAGAGGAACAAGGAAATGTGGTGAATGCTCACAATGAGACACACTCTGTTTCCACAGAAAGGAAACCCTGCAGTAGTGACAACACGGCTGGGAGTGCTTGCTCAGAGGCATGGCATTTAAATTGTCCAGTGAACAAAATCCGACAGTAGAATGGAAATTGGAGGTGGCTGGGGGCAGGCAGAAATGAGGAGTTAGAATGAATGGGCGTCAGGATTCAATTGGAGCATAAAGAAGCAAGATGAATATAGGTACTAGAGATCTGCTTCATACAGCATTTCACTTACAGTGACCACGAGTATCCTGCACACTTGAAATTTTTCTCAGAAGGTCAATTTTAAGTGTTCTTTCCATGATAAAATGGAATAAAGAAAAATAGTTAGAATAATAATCATAATTTTATTAGGAAACCAGTTGGCTTGGTTGTATGGGTGTACTTCTGAGGTCTCAGTTCTGTTCCGTGGATCTGTGTCTGTCGTTGGTTTCCAGTACCTCACTGGCTTGGATACCTCGCTCTGCATCAGGTGCTGGTGGTGGTGGTTGTCAAGGCTGTAAGCGGACTCAGTACCTTTACGTATTTACATGGTGCGAAGGGTTGAACCCAGTGCCCCACGCATGCAAGGAACGCTCTGTACCACTGAGTCACAGCCCACCCTGTGGTAGGCTCTGAGGTCAGGAATTGTACTCCTTCACTCTGTTCTCTTCCAAGGTTGATTTTGGCTATTAAGGGCCCTTGCAACTCTACTTGAATTTTAGGGTTAGCTTTCCCACATGTGTACAAAGAGGACTGGCATTTTGCTAGGGATTGCACTGGATCTTTCGATTACTTTAGGGACTGTTACATTTAACTTTGATGATCTTCTTACCATGAATGTGTGATATCTATTTAGGTTTTCTTTGATTTCATCCAGCAACATTTTGTAGTTTTCAACATGTAATTTTACACTTCCTTAGCTAAATTTACTTCTCAGTATTTGATTTTTTAAATACCATTTTTCATGAAATTGTTTTTATAATTTCCTTTTTAAATTCTTGAGTATTTAGAAATAGAACCGATTTTTGTGTATTTATCTTTTTTTCTGAATTCACTCTTCTGCAGTTTCCCCAGATTCATTAGCTGAATGCTTCTTCATGGATTCCTTAGGATCCTGTACACATGGGGCTGGGGACAGAAGTGTTCCACTTCTTCTTTCTCACTCGATGCCTTCTTTTTCTTGCCCATCTGACTGCAACACCCAGGGCAGCGCTCAGTGGAGTGGGGAGGGCAGACTCTGTTCTGTCCTGATCTGAGGCAGAACCTGCAGTCATTCAACACGAGGAAGAAGTCTTTTTCCAAACATCTGGTGCTCTGCATCAGTTCCTTCAAGACAATTTCATCTATATTTGGGGGGGGGGAATAATTATGCTTTCCCAAAATTCTTGTACATGCTGGGTGACTTAGTGAAAAGATGTCAGGCACACTCTCTCTTCCCCATGAGTCAGAATGGGCTTGCTCAATAGTGTATATGAGTGTAATTAAATATAATATTAGTATTTGGTATTACTATAAAACAGTCTTCAAAAAAGAAATTAATATCTCAATAGATGCAAAAAAAGCATTTGAAAAAAATCAATATTCTTTCATAAAAACTCTCAACAAATGAGTTCTGCCTCAACAAAAGCAAAGCTGTTGTGACAACCCACAGTTTACACTGTCGTCAGTGCAGGAGTGGGACACTTGTCCCTGAAGGCCAGGAACAAGACTAGGCTGCCCACTCTCACTTCACACGGCACTGGACGTCCAACCAGACTGTTAGTCAAGAAAAGGAGTACATGGCTGTGAGTTTAAAGAAGTTCATGTCTCCATTGCAGATGACATGCCCCTATACGTAGGAAACTCTAAGATCCCTGCACACGACAGAAGCTGGCCAGACCCTAGCTGAGCAAAAGAAGCAAGATATACAACCGACGTGGAAAATAGTGACAGTCCTATAGACAGACAGTGAATGCTCTGAAGAAGAATTCGAGAGAACACCACTTACAACAGTGACCAAAAAAGGGAGTGGAGCACTTGGGGACAAAGTCAGGCCAAGAGGTGAAAGGTGTGTACACTGAAAACTGAACCACCAGTAAGGAGGCTTGACGGATGGGGTTGCCCAGTGTCCCGTGTTCAAGGTGCTCTTTGACTCAAGTGTGGCCTAATCCAAACTCCAAAGGCATTTTACTAAAAATAGGAAAAGCAACTGAAAATTCATATGGAACCCCCAAAGACCCCAAGTCGCTAAAAGATAAGGCTGAAGGCATCCTATTTCCTGATTTTAAATTCTGTTACAAAGCTATGATAGTCAAAATGGCATAGTTTTGGAATTAAACCATATAAGGCACATAGACCAAAGGAGCAAAGAGAGACCCCAGAAATAGACCCATGCCTATAAGGTCAACCAGCCTTTGACAGAGGCCAAGAATATACAGAAGCCAAAGTATAATGTTTCCAATATATAGTTTTTGGAAAACTGAATGTCACATGCAAGAAGAGAAATAGATGAAAGAGTCAGGTGCAGGGCATGCCCATGATCCCAGTGACCCAGGAGCCTGAGGGGGTTACAGATTTGAGGCCAGCCTCGTCAACTTAGGAAGACCCTGTCTCCAGGTAAAAAGGGCTGGGGATGTAGCTCACTGGTCACACCCCTGGGTCCAGTCACCAGTGTCCAGAAGTTATGAATAAAACAAGGGGCTGGAGACGGTGCCTCTTGGTCGAATGTCCTTTGGTTCAAGCAGTACTGAGAGGAGGAGAAAGAGATCTGGTCCTGACACCAGGTGTAGAAATCAGTTCCAACATGAGATCCACGCGCCAGCTAGAACAGGCAAAAGGCACCTGACATCGGTCTTGGCATGACTCTCTGGAGGTGACACTGAAGTGCAGGTGACAGAAGCAGGAATAAGTGGGGTCTCATGAGACTGACACTGCAGCACAGAAAGAATCGAGGAACCAAGAGGAAGGACTGTGTTCAAAATGGGAGGAGGGTTCAGACTCAGGAGAGGAGCTGAGAGTGACCGACTGCCAAGGACGGGGCCGGGGAAGCGGGAGGTGTTCGTCCGGGTGTGCAGACTGCAGTGCACTGGGAGCCATCCCAGAGGCCGGCGGACGTGCTGGTGGTGACTGTGATGAATGACGACGGATGCGGGAGAGTCACCAGGAAGACGGTCTGGAGCCTTCGCGCGCACACAGTAAGTGTGTGAGGTGACGCGTGCTCTTTGACTGCTGTGGCCGTCATGCCACAGTGTACGGGTGTGTCAGAACACACCACATGTCTTACGTATGTACATTTGTCACTACACCTCAACAAATCTGGAAAAAAGTTTCTTATAAAAAAGTGGCATTGCAAGCACCATTAAGAAACGACCAGGGACTCCTGGCTTGTAGACAGCACAAAACTGTGCAGTGACGGCTGAGTTTGAGCAATCCATTGCAAATGTGTCTGTGTCCAAATGCACTGAATAAAATAAGACACATTTTCTACTTATAGAGAAATAACCGGACTTCCAAATAACCCTAATGATCGCCGTAGAATAAGGGTCTTTTGTGTGCTTTTGATGCTCCTTTGGACACATTAGTGATGTGGTAGTGTGATGCTGGATGACCACTACGTGGCGTCCAAAGCAGGTAGACAGTTGTGGCTGAGAGGGAGATCAAGGCAGGAACATCACAGCCTCTCACGGCCTCTTCTCTGCCATGCGACTGGCTCGGGCGTACTTAACTGTTCTGAACTTTCTCTGGTCCTATGTGACTTCAGTCTGGAGTGTCACGTGTTTGCAGACTGCATGTCTAAACGTAATGGCTTTAGAGCCGCAGAATTTGTGTTTCATTCGCCATTACTGAATTAGTTCACCAATTTTCCTTTTACCTGAGTTCTCTTTTCTTGCACTTGAGAAAGAATAATTGTTTTCTTGATTTATTTCAGGCCAGCAATCTGTTCATGAGACCCAAGAATTATTTCCAAAACAGGACTTATGTGCTGATGGAGTAATAGACAGAACTTCGAGTGCCAAACTTGAGGATTCCACTTTCAGAGAAAATTGGGCTTCTGAGTGTGTGTGTGAAGGGAAGCTGGCACATCACGAGACAGTCACTCAGGACCAAGCCCCCCCAAAGGAGAGAGAGCATTTGTATAACAAACCTAGAAGATGGTTCCACTTGAATAGTTCAGAAGAGAGAGTCCATAGTTGTGATTCAGGTAAAGGTTTTCAGAAAACTTCAGTGGTAATAAAACAAGCAGGAATCTATGCAGGAAAAAAACTGTTCAAATGTAATGAATGTAAGAAAACTTTTACTCAGAGCTCATCCCTCACTGTTCATCAGAGAATTCATACTGGAGAGAAGCCCTATAAGTGTAGCGAGTGTGGGAAGGCCTTCAGTGACGGTTCCTCCTTTGCACGGCACCAGCGGTGTCACACGGGCAGGAGGCCCTATGAGTGCACCGAGTGTGGGAAGGCCTTCATACAGAACACGTCCCTCATCCGCCACTGGAGGTACTACCACACCGGGGAGAAGCCCTTCGACTGTGCCGACTGCGGGAAGGCCTTCAGTGATCACATAGGGCTGAACCAGCACAGGAGGATCCACACCGGAGAGAAGCCCTACACGTGTGACGTGTGTCACAAGTCCTTCAGGTACGGCTCTTCCCTCACTGTGCACCAGAGGATCCACACTGGAGAAAAGCCGTACGAGTGTGACGTCTGCAGAAAAGCCTTCAGCCACCACGCGTCCCTCACGCAGCATCAGAGAGTGCATTCTGGGGAGAAACCTTTCAAGTGCAAGGAATGTGGGAAAGCCTTTAGGCAGAACATCCACCTGGCCAGTCACCTGCGGATCCACACTGGAGAGAAGCCCTTCGAATGTGGCGAGTGCGGGAAGTCCTTCAGCATCAGCTCCCAGCTCGCCACTCACCAGAGGATCCACACGGGGGAGAAGCCCTACGAGTGCCAGGTGTGCGGCAAGGCCTTCACCCAGAAGGCCCACCTGGCGCAGCACCAGAAGACCCACACCGGGGAGCGGCCCTACGAGTGCAAGGAGTGCGGCAAGGCCTTCAGCCAGACCACCCACCTGGCGCAGCACCAGCGCGTGCACACGGGGGAGAAGCCCTACAAGTGTGTGGAGTGCGGGAAGGCCTTTGGGGACAACTCCTCCTGCACCCAGCACCAGAGGCTCCACACTGGCCAGAGGCCTTACGAGTGCCTGGAGTGTGGCAAGGCCTTCAAGACCAAGTCCTCCCTCATCTGTCACCGCAGAAGTCACACCGGGGAGAAGCCTTACGAGTGCAGTGCGTGCGGCAAGGCTTTCAGCCACCGGCAGTCCCTCAGCGTCCATCAGAGGATTCACTCTGGGAAGAAACCCTACGAGTGCAAGGAGTGCAGGAAAACCTTCATCCAAATCGGGCACTTGAACCAGCACAAGAGAGTTCACTCTGGAGAGAGGCCCTACGGCTGCAGGAAGGGCAGGAGAGGCTTCAGGCCCACGGCACACTGTGCCCACCCTCCACGGGGCCACTCTGCAGAGTCCTCCACGCGCCCTGCCCTCTCCTCCACGTCCAGTTCTGTGGACCTCTTCCCCAGATTCCTCTGGAGTCCGTCCTCACTGCCATCGCCGTAGTCTCAGGATACCATTTCAGCTGCATCACTTCACTTAAAAACTCATCTGTCTGCCCTTTGTTTTTGTCCCTTATAAGTTCATTCTTCACAGTCAGACTGGTTTTTTTAAGTGAAAATGTAATGAATTCATTTGTATAAACTTGTTTGTGATCCTCTCAACGATTAATGCATAAGATGTGCCGCACAGTGCTGGTCCATACCAAGCATTCAGTAAACTTGCTCCTTTTCTTTTCTTGTGGTAAAGAAGATTGAACCCAGGGTGCTTTACCACTGAGCGCATCTACAACCCTTCTTAGTGTTTGGGTAGGATTGCACTAAGTTGTTGAGGGTGGCCCTGGACATTGAAATGTGACTGTAGGGGCTGGGGATGTAGCTCAGTGGTCGAGTCCTTCCCTAGCAGGCATGAGGCCTTGGGTTTGATCCCTAGCACCAGAGGGAGGGAAAAAAGAAGAGGAAAAAGTTATGGTAGTCATCTCGTAAAAATGATGCAGTGGGATGAAGGGAGAAGCCGATTGTGGGTCAGGAGTGGAGCTCTGCAGGTAGCTAATGAAATTTGCCTGTGTTCCTTTAAAATTTGATTCCATGATGCTGAGAAGTATTGTGACATTCCCTTTGATCTACACAAATGTAAGGTGATCTGAGCTTTTTGGTGACAAAATCCAAGTTTATGTTTGACAACAGTCTTTGATAGTGTAGAGGACATGAATTAATAGGCCATTTGGAATAAATGAATTAAATAGATAATGCAGGATTGATATGCAGAGTTAAAACTATTAATGCAGTACTCTGGATAAACCAATCTAGTAGCAAGAGTCAGCAATCCATGACTTGTGCCCAAGGTCTCGCTGGTGATTTTTATATTGCCCATGATCTAAAATTTTAAAACATATTCATAAGTGGTTCAAAAATGAAAATGTTTTCAACATGATCATTATGTTAAATTTCAGTGTCTGTAAATAAAGTCGTGTTTGCACATAACCACCCTTGTTCATTCACACGTTGTTACAACAGCATAGTTGAGTAGCCCAAACAAAGACCATCTGGTTTGCAGACCCTAAGAAATCTGCTGCATGAACCTTTGCAGAAAAATTTAGTGATCCCTGCTGTAGAGATTGCTGAGGAATCTTTGGCTCATGGGCAAAATACTGTCTGCAGCCTGTGTAAATAGTCCTACTGAACAGTGACCACACTCATTTGTTCACCTGCTTTCTCTGGCTGCTTTTACAACAGAGGCAGACGTTGAGTAGCTGCAACACTGATGATAGTTACTGGGGTTTTTTTGTTTGTTGTCGTTGTTGTGGTTGGGAGGATTGAACCCAGGGCACTTTAGCAATGAGCTGCCTCCCCAGTCTTTTTGAGACAGGGCCTTGATAAGTTGCCCAGGCTGGCCTCAAACCTGTGATCCTTCTGTCATAGCCTCCCAAGTTGCTGGGATCACAGACATGCAGCACCACGCCCACCACATTACCATTCTTTTATAGAACGTTTACTGCCCACTGCTCTGGAGTGGAGGAAAATTTACAAAACTATCAAATTTTCTAAGGTAATATAACTCTTACATCAGAAATTTAAAGACTGACTATAAAACAATTTATGAAGAGATGAATTACTAAATGATAATGAAAAGTAGAACATGTCAATAAAAAGGAAAAATAGATGAAATATTCGATTCTATTTAAATGATTGTAAATTATATATCCCAAATGGAATTCCAGTAGATATGTTTACTATAATGATTGTTGATGGTTGTCCGGAAAAAACACAAGGAAGTACAACTAGGCAAGAAAAACCAAGATATACTTGAAAGAGTTTCCTTTGTGAATGAAATTTAGTATGTGATACTGGTATGTTGATATTGGCTGAAATAGTTGTCTTTACATATGAGATTTGGTAGGTGATGCTGCCATAAAACGCTGTGTCAGAAGCATACATGAAAGGGTACTTTCAGTATATAGGACATACAGTCTTTAAGATAAATGTGAAAGAGTTATAGTTAGATCTCTGTAAGATCACTGTCACAGGGACACAGAAGATGCCTTCCCCAAGAAGGCGTACTCCTTAAGATAAATGTGAGGCATTTCACATCTCTCATATGAAATCATATGAAGGAGGAACCAGAAAGAAATGCACACCTTCACCAAGTAGGGCATATAGATCTAGAAGGCACACAGGAAGAGGACCCTTCACCATGTAGGACACACAGTCCTGGAAGACACAGGAAGAGGACCCTTCACCATGTAGGACACACAGTCCTGGAAGACACAGGAAGAGAACGCCTTCACTATGTAGAACAGTCCTGGAAGACACAGGAAGAGGACCTTCACCAAGTAGGACACACAGTCCTGGAAGACACAGGAAGAGGACCCTTCACTATGTAGGACACACAGTCCTGGAAGACACAGGAAGAGGACCTTCACCAAGTAGGACACACAGTCCTGGAAGACACAGGAAGAGAACGCCTTCACTATGTAGAACAGTCCTGGAAGACACAGGAAGAAGATATCTTCACAGGTCATCCTAGAAGCTTTAAAGGAAAAGAATAGTTGACTTGTGCAATGATTTAGAACTCCATCATGGTGAAAGTCACCAGAAACATGTAAAAAACAAAAGGCAGAAAATGTACACAATTCATTTAAAAATATGCCACTTAGGAAAAATACCATTAAATATGAAAAGTCATGGGGGATCTTTATGGCACATACCAGAATGTATGTCACAGCTGCTATATTCAAGTGAATTAAGAAACTTTGTGATGCTCTTACCTCATTGAACAGACAAGAACTAATGAAAATAATTTTTCTTGACTCTTGGATTAAAATCTAAAGTTTGAATGACATCCCATCCTGGTGTCCGTGTGTGAAAACAGGTCCTGTTTGTCACTAGCAGTGTAAATCTGTATCCTGCCTTTTAGACGGCAACGTGGCATGACCTATCCACATTGTAAGTGTGTGCTTCTTTTGAGAGTCATGCCAGGTCTAGGAACTTGGTCTCATTGGAATACATGTAATGTTTATTGCAGAATCTTAGAAATCAGGACAATAGGATTTCTGTGTCCTGGCGGGGCATGTTGATTAAGTTGATATTTAATGTAATACTGAAGTTTACAGTTGGTAAGAAGGGTTTAAGCTCCACGTACACTTCTGTAAAGACCTGTCCCCAGTGCAGAACCTCACGTATGTACTGATCTTATAGTCGGAGCCTACAGGGATATCGAGCACATAGATACATGTGAGCGTGTATGTGTGCACATACCCACGTTCAGTTACATGCTGGTCTGTTTTTTCTTCAACACATTTTTTCCTAGCTTTTTTCCTTTTTGGTACTGGAAATTTCATCCATGGAAGCTTTCGCACTGAACTATGATGTTTCTAGCCCTTTTGTTTTGAGACAAGGTCTCCCTAAGTTGTTGAGGCTGGCCTGGAACTTGGGTCCTCGGCCTCCGCGCCAGGCTTTTCCGAGCCCTCCTCCTCTTCAGTGTTCCTGTTCTGGTGAGCGGCAGTCACACACACCTGCGGCCAAGCCAACCAGACGTCTCATTGTTTCACTGGAGAAGGGACGGAGCGGGCCAGCATGACTCCTCATGAACTGCCGGTCCACAGGAGTGCCTGCCATCAGCCAGGAGTCACAGCCACGGGCTCGGACGCCCACTGTGCCAGCTCTTACTGCGTAGGTGTCACTCCTGGGCTTCAAGGGCTTGGACTCAGGCACCCGTTGGCAGCACCTGAAGGTCCCTGCATTTGTCACTGGGGCCCTGCCTTCTCACACCCTGGTTTTTACTTCTTTAAATCTTTAAGCCATTTGTATTCTTCTAATATTTAATTTCTAACTTTACATTAAATTCAGGTTCTATTGTTCTCAAAGCAAGATAGCTAATACAGAAGCTATAATAGAAAATGATTATCAGGCTATAAAGAAGCAGAGTGTAGATCAAGAGACAGAAATTGGTCCTGAACTTGTGATCCTCCTGTCTCAGCCCTGAGTAGCTAGGAATACAGGTGCATGCCATTGTGCCCAGCTGCATCCCCAGGCCTTTGTGTTTTGAGACAGGGTCTTGCTAAGTCACTGAGGCTCTCACTAAGTTTCCCAGCTGGTCTTGAACTTGCAATCCTTCAGTCTCTGTCTCCTTAGTCCCCGGGATTCATGCATATGCTACCATTCGTGAGTGGGAAAGGATATTTCTTACATAGCAGGATCATAAGTTCATTGTGCATTAGGGACTGAAAGGCACCTACCCAAAACTGAAAGTGATGTGAGGGATGCTACTTCCAAAATCGTTGTGATAACTTGTTTTATAATGAAATCATATAATTAAAAGTCACAGCTCAAGGCTGATTGAAATTCTGACCATAAGAAACTGAAGCCAGACCTTTATGTCTATGCTGGGAAACGTCTCTGTTTCCAACCATGGCTTCCCTCTGAAAACCAGAGCCGTCAGCAGGTGCCTTTGGCTGCTGAGCTATGATGATGGATTCCCAGTGCCATCTCCATTATGTCATGCAATAAGGCTATCAAGAAGGACTTAAGGGGTTGAGGTGTAGCTCAGTGGCAGAGTGCTCACCTAGCATGTGTGGGGTCCTGGGTTCCATCCTCAGCACCACACAAAGATAGGTAAATAAAGGTATTATGTCCATCTACAACTAAAAGGTATTAACAAAAATGACTCCAGGATCTTAGAAAACTTTGACCCTCCCCATCCTTAAGAAACCTACTAGTTAATTCTTATCTTTTCCCGTTTTGACTGAAAACTTAATTGTTCCTCAACAATATTGCTGGGATGGTACCCAAAACCAGAATTCAATATGACCTGTAATGTGGAATACAGAAAAAAATTAATATTCAGATATATTTACTATCCTTACTCACTATCCTTTACAGTCATACCATCAGAAATGTAGGATCATTTCTCAAAGTGTATTTAAAGTTATAAATTACTCTGCACAATATTAAGGCCCTGAGGGACTTGAAGGCTTTACCAGGCTGGAGGGGCCATGTCAGTCCTGAATGTCAGTTGCAGCGAGGCCAGCAGCCTCCCCGTTCATCCTGGGGCTGAGGAGCACCAGCATGTGAGGCCCGGTCTCCTCTGGACATGGAGCCTTCCCTTCCTGTGAGACGCTGCTTTTGTGTCAGCAGCTGGATTACAGGGAGGCAGGTAACTGCAAGAAGATGGTGGAGTGGTCATGATCAATCTTGAACTCCAAACGGTTCTGATTTCTGGTATTTGCCCTGCATTGAGCATGTGTGAGGCACTGGGTTCCAACCCAGCAGAACACCAGCTACTTCACCGCAGGACACTTGGTCTCACCTGTGCTCAGGAGTTACTGGCGGGG